TATAAGGAATGAAATTCTAGTAATTCTACCAAAAAGGAACGCAAAACAGCTAAAGCAATAGAGCTGTGAGTTACCTGTGTGAGGTGCTGCATGTAGGCGGCTGACATGATACGTAACTTTAGACTTTGTGGCGCAGACTGAAGGAAGTACGGCATCTGCATACCGCGCGACTCACGCCACAGGTGCAGCGAGTATTTGTTCACCATTGTCACCAGGTTCTTTGATACGCGATTGTTCTTAAGAAATTCCTGGATATGCTTTTACATTACAATCACGTATAAGGTATGATAACATATGACGCAGCTGTTTGGGCGTCGATTACTATTGCGAGTTATTTTTTATATTAGAAAATGTCACATACATTACTCAGATTCCTAAATGATTAGCGAAAGCCCTCGTAATATGGATTAATTGAGTTAATGAAGATATCACAACGGCCTGATCCGAGAAAAGTTCATTTTCTCCATTGACCCGACCGGGAATCGAACCTGAGACGGCAGAAATGGTGACACATTGAAACCGGCTCGCGAACCATTTTACTACGGAGGTTGTCGCTTAAGAAATCGACCAAACAAAATTATAACGCTATTTTTTTCGGGGCTGCATATGTAATTGTTAATTGTGGTAGTACCCACCGATTCAGGAGTGGATGGTGGGGTAATATTGTCCACCATTCTTATTGTCTATCACGCATTATGTAGATCTTTACCTAACCAATAAACATATAATAATCCGATGGTGATAATATACATATAAACTAGTATTTAAAGTCGCTATTATCATGAGATTATTTAAAATGGAGACCTAAAACTTATATCTTATGTTTCCGCACATTTATCAATAAAATTTGTATTTTTATAAGTTGTATTACAAAATAAAGATCGTTTGCAGATTTTTTTGGGCCTGCAAAGTCTCTGTAACATTTATAAATGTAATAAATAAAAAAATACACTCACTCGAAATCATCTACAAATAGTTTTGGTAATTAGAACTTTAATTAATACAAAAACCAAACTATTTTAATATTGTAATCAAGTGATTATATTATATCAAGCAATTTTACATTAGAAGTATTTTCCAGTATGCAAAATTGATCAAATTAGAACAAATTTTCGTCTTTATCGAAAGTTTTAAATATTTATTTCGACTGTTCAGGTGGATTGCCTGAACATGGATGAAAAAATGCTCTTTAGTACCGAAAAAAATAACAAGTGCTTGAAGAATTCGTCAGTCCTGTTAGGTCCTGGATTCAGATCAAGACAAAGACGATTTTTTGAGTGTTTTTCATTAAAATTATAACCAAATGTTTGTTCAGAATACCTGAAGTTCTAAATACTTGCAGTAGAAACTGAAAGATCTATACGATCGGAACTGGGTGATGTTGGACAATTCCCCAACGAATATCATGTACACCATAGTCGCCACAATTTGCATTAGAGATACTAAAATCACCTGCAAACAAAGCACTATGACAATCACATTGTCCTATCTTCTAATATTAAATGCTGAAGATTTTCTTTTCCAATCATAGAAAATAAATTATTCATATTTTCTTTGCAGCCTGGTAAACTGGCATTTATACTAAAATTTCTTCTTTTTCTTCTTTTCTAATTCGGTATATTATCGACTTTCCCTATATTTACTTCTAAGCACTACTTCTAAGCATTTGACAGTTATTGTACTTAATTGAAAATTACCTGACAATTAACATTAATTTTATATACCTACTTATGATTATTTTTAAAATGAAAATTAGGTACGAATGTGAATTTAAATGAAATTTTATGAACGTAAGATATTGAGGAAAGTTAAGATATAGAAGATTTTATTTAAAGCATTTACTATTTACAATGAAATTTTTATTTTAATTTAAATTTGCTACACCCTTACAGGGTGTCACATAAACTGTACCTAATAATAACACCTGTTTTACTATGTGACATGCAATAAATGAATTATTATATTAAGAGTGCATTACTGACCATCTGATGTGTGGATGCATCTTTCGAGGGTTTTCCGTTATGTGTCATCACCGTAGATATGATATTAATAAGATTTTTCAGAAATTTGAAACCTAAAACTTCTTTCGGCTCTTCATCACAACACATACAACTTTACCATATTTCAATTATAAGTTATTCGCAATTATATACACAAAATATTAGCACAAGTTTATACGAATAGTGAAAAGTGTCAATTGGCAAGGGTTCAACTCCCAGTGGTGCTCATAGTTCGTTAAGCATTCTCGATCTTCTTTTATTTACTTTAATCTGAATTATTAGGTGCGAAGACAATTAATTCAAAAATATTAGTAATATCCAATCAGTAATCAGAAATGAGGTAGCATAAATTGAAATTCTACAGAACTAAAAATACAACCACTCAAGTTTCGTTTTTGGTAATACCAAGTAGTTCGTCAATCCCTTTTTTAGTTGTACCAAAACGTTTGGTTACGCACATTGTATCGTGTTAATCTCCATTAGTAATAATCCTTATAGTTCAGATAATAGTAATAAGTGTTGGCACTGTATCAGAACTGATGCTCGGCGTGGGCAGAGCACGCTCTGCCTCGTTAGAGTCCCGACTCTATGATATGTCTATATTTACATGCAGTTGCCATGAAGTGATGGTCAAATTACATTTTTACAGCTCCACACATCATGATGATTGATTTAAAATGTTTATACCTCGATACTATCCTTGTTAGCTTATTGGCATTAATAAATAAATTTGAACCAAACAACCGACAGTTAACCTTAGGATAGGGTGCCGTTTTTACCTATAAAAAAACCAGATGCAATATATATAATCTCAGCTGGCTAAATTTAGAGAAACATTTTTAATAGAAAAATGTTTCTCTAAATTTAGCCAGCTGAGAATTGAAGCTGAGATCTAAGTAGTCAAGTAACGCCTCCCAATAATTCACGATTGGAAACAAAATGAAAATAGCACAAGGAACAACTAGGAGTTTTACCTCAGCCTGATTTTTGGGCATGATGTCACCGACGCCGTTCTGTGTGAAAGTTGTCAGTACAAAGTACATCGAGCATATGTACATGTTGTGGCACCAACTGCTGCCGTCATCTGCTCATTATTAATTATAATAGGTAAGATAAATGGGAAATATAAATGAAAACATTTCTCTTCAGAATCGGATGGGAAGGTGATATGGATTAGTGAGGGTGTATGAATGTATCCACGTAGCCAGGCGGCTCGACGGGCAGATGATACATTTATCGTGGATCACCTCCGAAGACCCATTGAGTGGACTTGAATGAGGCCGAGTGAATCTAAGACTCTGAAGTAATACGGTGTTTATTGAGTGGGTCTACAGACAAGCGTCACTTAAATAGCCATCGCTTGTGATAGATTTGTAACTTATTTATATTTTTAGTGAATAATCAGAATCACATGTTAAAATCTACAAGTAAGCCAGGAGTTGTGACAAATAAAGACCTTTATGAATCCATGACGAGTAAGCTGAGTTCTTGTCCTGTAGCACACCTATGAAATACCACAAGCAGACGTGGATGTGTATTATTAGAGTGAACCAGATCGTCACCGTAAACACCGTGCTCAGCGTCAGGTTCACTGCGAGACGATCCCGGTGACGCGATAGGCACTTGTAGGCTGTGACCTATACGATTATGCTATGTTTGATTCTGTGATTTTCAATATTAATACTAAATTTTATTTTTTTATTGTAAATTCCTTATGAAATCGATGAGCAGTTAGCATTAAATCATCTTATATTTGGTGTTACATCAAAATGTGGAATTCTAGTTGCTTGTTTGAAAACAGGGGGATAAAGAAACATATTTCAAAGGCCGGCAAAATAACGGCGGCTAACAGTGTTACTGGACTGCTTACAAAGCACTTGCCATAAGTACATTGAATTGCATTTTTGTCGTGCCTCGTTATAAAAAGTGCACTGAGTAGAAACTGATACGGTAGTAGCATTATGGTATGAGCTGTCTGTAAAGCATTCGGCTGTAACATAACAATGCAATTGATTTTGTGCATTTAATATTATAATCGATCCCAAGATTTATTTAATGCTCATTCACCAATTTGTAATATCATATCTTATAATCAAAATTAATCATGGCGGTTCAAAACTCAAAGAATATTGTTAAATACTTACTATCCTAAACATCCTATTGAGACGAAGCCAAGAAAATGCAATCCACCTATGGTCATGAAACGCAAAAGACAAAACTTCCGTTGGCACACATGACACCACATCGTAAATGAACTCATCCTTCAAGTAGCTAAAAGTTAAACCAGGAAACTTATTTTAGAATATTATACGTGCTGCGTGTATCTAATATCTAAAATTTAGAAATACTCACGAGTCCCTGATGGGTATGAGAGCCTTTTTCGAGTGTACTGAATTAGTTAGAAATGGGAGTGCATAATACAATAGTATTTTTAAATAGAAACAGGCATCCAATGCATAGAGGAATGTGAGAAATGAGCCTGTATTGTGTTGGAAACCAGCGTTATACACGTCGGCGTACACGCAGGTCAAGGAAACAATCGTCAGATACGTCTGGATATACTTGTCCTTATAGAAAAAGCGTGAAAACTTCTTCTGGTTAAGGATCGCCATCATAGAACCTACCACATGCTCTTCTTTTGAAACTAAGACGTCTTCTTCCTGGCCCGTTATGAAGTTCTGTAAGATAGCAAATGTTCTACTTTATAATTTTGTAATCAGATCACACAATTGGTTTTCCCTCTAAACTATGAAAGCTCACCTTTTTCTCCTCAGAGCGTAATGTTTCCATATCCTTAGCAACTTGTGGAAAGTCGCTAATGATTTGGTGGAAGATCAAAGCTTTAATGTAGAGCACACGCACTCTGCTCTGTGCTACGATAGCTAAGTCGAACTTTACCGTAGGCAAATTGTCTAAGTTTCCAAACACGCTAGATAGAAAAATGATTCTATTAAATTCAAAGGTCGTTTACTAAGAAAGGATTTTTAACTCCTATTGTAAGATAGGGAATTTAAAAGTCGTTTGATCCCTGCAGTTAAAGCAGCGGAACGCTTTAGAATCCATCCAAAAAATATAGAAAAAGAGTTGTAACCATGATTCGTCTTGCATTTTTAATTAAATAATGTTATATACATACATATACATATTTTTTTTATTTAAATAAAATATATCTCGCTAAAATTAAAATTAAGAAAAAATCATTTCAACATTATTACCTGCCCTTAGTGAGTACAGCAATCGTCTCGGAATCATTGGCATCATCTTTGACTGCGATGACGCCATCATCGACGAAGTATAACTCACTGATTACATCATTTTTGTCCACGACCAACATTTCCCGCAGGAAGTAAACGCTACGAACTTCTCTTCCGATCACACGCAGCAGGGACGCGTCACATTCAGACAAAAATGGACACTGTGATCAAAGTGTTATGTTGGATACTATTGGCGATCACTTTACTCGTGTAAATGAATATAAAAGAATATATTACAATAGAACCTTCTCAAATGTCGGCCCATATATATGCAATATGGCGTCAGTACGCAGAGTAATCTGGTCACACAACTTCAACACATTATTGTAGTCGATGCCGCCGGTTTTTTGCCAGGTATACTCATAATAGTCCAGAACTTCCCTACGAGAATTCGCATTAATATTACTAAAAAACAGTTTGTTTGCTGCTGGGATTAGATTAGGTTAAGAAATTAAATTCTGTCGATCCTAGCTGTTATTGTGTATGCACACACAGTGTTATCACAGTATCATTTTTTATTAAACACACTTTCGTGTTTTTAAATGAGAACACATACATTATGTTCATTATTTACCAATTGTCTAAGTACTAAGTAACAATCATTAATTTACTAGTAAATATAAAAACACAGTTTTCTATATAGTTTTGTATACAGAAGCTATCATCACAAGGAAAAAGTAAAAAATGAGTGCAGTCTGCAATTACTTTTTTAGATTTTTGGAGAGGTGCTCATGTCGCATGAAACTTGTGATGTCCTTCATGTGTTCCTGGTAAGCCGCCAGCTCATTGTTCACCTTCGCGCGGATGCTGATGATGCGCACCGATAAATATATTGTGATCATGTTAACTGAAAATCAGTATTCGATTGTCTTTATATCAAACTAATATCCGTACAGCATTTCCTTTCATGCGCGACGCCATTTATCATGAGCCTATTATCCCACTGGTAGGTCATAGGTCTTAGCTCAGTGCGGATTGGTACTTAATTAGTAAATACTCACCTGCGACCATACCGATGAACAGCACCATCATGATATTGAGATTGCTGGGCCTGAAGCAGCCATAACCCGTTGTAGTGGTCTCATACACTACCCAGAAATAAGTCGCCAGATACAAGTTCCAAGGTGTTTCCGTTATATTGAAGCGAACTGCCAATTTATTAAGATCTAATTAATTAACACAAGATAAGGCACATGTGTTATATATAGCTGATGGCAGCTCTATAAATGAGGCAATAGACTCTGCACTACAAGCCCGGTACAGTGAAATATGCGCACCAATATGAAGACAGATTAACTTTATGATAATAATTAGAATATATATATTAGGTAAGATGCCAGACTAGCACAAGCTCAGTATGATCGAAAGATGTGTCCAAGTGGATATAACTTTTGGTCATACTATAATAGCTCCCATGTCGAGTATGTAGCATGTACTTTATAGAATTTGCTTATTTTCTTCATCTAATTAATGTTCTCGGTACTGCGTGAGTAGTCTTATAAGAGCACTACGTTTTCGTTAACGGCTTCGCCCTAGGGAACTGTTTAGTGGGATAAAAAGTAGTATCATAATACTGGTTTAGAATTTAATTTAATAATTCATTTGAATAAGGTTTCATATCATGACTAGGATATAATTACAACAATGACAAGTTTAATAGCAAACAACGGTACTCTGGTAACGTTTTCATTCCCTGTACAAACTTTCACTCCCATTATCATCACTTTATTTGCTGTTTTTCGGAATAAAATATAGCCTATGTCCAACGCATGTGATTTGAACTTGCGCATCAATACTCACAGGTGTCCTCAAACAAGTTTAGCCAGGAACCACCCAGGTCTTTGAACGGGACGATGGTCCAGTTGTCGTTGTTGTCGACGTAGATGTAAACAGAACAGAAGACTAGCAGCGACGTCATCGTGTTGAAAAGCACCATGTATAGGGGTATTGCCTTTATGCTGAATTTATAAACGAATATGATTAACGGCAAAGATGGGATTGACTATGAAACAATGTACAAATATTTTCTGAAATCCAAATCTTCATTTATTTGGGTATGTATAACATACGTCCCCACTGCTGAGGCTCAGGCCTTCCTTATGGATGATTAAGGAGGATGGGCCATGACCATCCACGCTGGCCCAATGCAGATTAGAAGGTATGAACGACTGCAAATGCAGCCGGGACCAACGGTTTACGTGCCTACTGAGGCACACAGAAGCTCGAGTTAATAATAATTTTGGTCACCGATCCCGTGACCGAACCCTTGCGAAAGTTGCTTAACAACAACTCTACGCTACCGAACTACTCACATTTACGTTAGATTAGTCTTTAACATTATTCAAATCTGTTTTAGTATGTATTTCAAGATATTAATTTTTTGAAAAAGTCCATGAAAATCCAAATCTTTATAAGAAAAAGTAAATATGTGCTGTAATTTATATGTGTAAATAAATATAAAGTTACACTAATAAAATATCCCGGCGCTCCACATAACCGTCAAAGCAGATCATGGCACTCGGCAGCCGGTACAGCTGCAGGAGACGGTTCATCATCAGCAACTGTCTGCTTCTGGTTTGGAGATTCTCAACTATGAAACCAAACATTCCTTTATTATATTTCATAATTTCGCATTTACAGTGCTATCTATACTGGAAAATATTCAAAATCAAAAATGCTTATGAAATCCCAAGTGGATCCAAAAGGTACCTATTATATCCTATTATTAATTTTAAATAAGCTAATTGTAAGTGTTTTACTAGCTGTTTTGAAGCCTTTGTAACCAGCATATGGTGTATGTTTTCATAGCTGAAATAATTTTTATGATCAGTTCAGTATTTCCAAAAATTATCTCCCAAAAATAAACAAAGTTGGAAACCTCACCTCTTAATAATATTAGTAGGTTTAGATACTGATTACTTAGTAGAACTGCATACTATACCAATACACAAACAAAAGACATTAAAAAAAAAATGTAACTTATGCCGTAATATCTACCTGAGTATTCCAAAACTGATGACTCGAGGTTCTCTAGCGGTAGACAGGCGACCAGGTCGACGAAGAAGGCGCCTTTCATATAATGGGCGGCGGTACTGACCGGATGGAATACCAGAGCACCCTCCGTATTGAAATATCCCACCAGCATACGTTGCAAGCTAAAACAGACGAACGGGTATACTGTGGGACTCCATTTAAATTTGTTGGAGACATAGGAAATAAAATGAAAATGAAATGAAATGAAATGAAAATTTATTTATTTTATACACTTTTTTCAGTACAAAATGTGAACTGCTCTCATATAAGGTTACCCTGTGTTATGAGAGGCAGGCTCCTCCTTCAATACATTGCAAATAATTATATTAAAGTATAAATATTAATAAAACAATGAGTAAATAATATAATGCCTGTGTTTTGTGTCTGAGCGTGCGTGCGTGCGTGTGCGTGCGTGTGTGTGTGTGTGTGTGTGTGTGTGTGTGTGTGTGTTCGTGTGTGTGTGTGTGTGTGTGTGTGTGTGTGTGTGTGTGTGTGTGTGTGTGTGTGTGTGTGTTCGTGTGTGTGTGTTACATATCAACATGTACATCTTTATCTTATTTTTAAGAAAGACTAGTGATTGTTTGTATTATTTGTTCTAAGTTATCATATTTGTATTGTTCTAACCATTTTATAATCGAGTCCTGAAACTTTTTTGACCTGTATTGTACAATGTCTTTGTGTGATCTCAGTAACTTGTTATAAAGACGTGGGGCTATATATGTGAAGTGACGTTTAACAAGTGTTGAGTGAGCTGTTGGAACTTTGTATCTAGGGACTCTTCTTGTTACCAAGGGTGTATATGGAACTGTTTTGCAATGAAACCTACATAGTAAAAGGAAAACATAAAGTTTACGGACTGGAAGAACCATTGCTTGCTGATAGAGTTGTTCTGTTGGGAATTTATATGGTAGATTTAAAGCTACTTTAAGTACAGCTCTTTGAGCTCTCTCTAATTGTATCATATGTGTCTTTGCGGCACCTCCCCAAACACATATACTGTAGGTGAGTATACATTGACAAAGGGCTCTATAAGTCGATATAAGAAGTTTGTAATCTGCAGCAGTGCGTAGTTGTTTAAAAACAAACATCAGTTTTCGAGCTTTTGCTGACACCGTGCTTATGTGTTCTTTCCATTTAAGATTTTCATCTACGATCACACCTAAGTACCTAATTTTTGGAACGCGTAAGAGTGTTGGGCAATTGCAATTGAGTTTCATTTTCTGATTACATGGAAATGTGTGTAATGTAAGAGTTAAATTATTTTTCGGATCTTTAGCTTTAGTCTTACTGAAACATAAGAATTTAGATTTTACAGAATTTATTGATAGGAGATTTTCCTCTAACCAATTTGTAATCCCACATAGACCTTTCTCTGCCACTTTTATAACCTCGCTCCACGTCTTACCATGAAATAAAATTACGGTGTCATCTGCAAACATAATTGTTTCAGCCTTAGGTAATTTTATATTACATAAACTGTTGATATATATTAAAAATAATGTTGGGCCAAGAGTGCTGCCTTGTGGGACGCCGTAGGTACACAAGGCTGTCTTACTGTAATAATTATCAACCCTAACAGTTTGACTTCGACCTGTCAAATAGTCAGTGAACCAAGAGTGCATCAGTCCCCTCACACCTAGATTTTCGAGGCGTCTAAGTAGTATCGGAATTGAAACTGTGTCGAAGGCCTTCTGAAGGTCTAGAAATACACCAACACAGTTCATTCCCTTATCCAGATGTCCTGTGACTAAACTAGTTAGATTAAGCACGGCATCCTCAGTAGACCTACCGGCTCGAAACCCATATTGATTTTCTGATAATGTATCTATTTTATTCATATAACAAACAAGTCTACTGTTTACAATTTTTTCTATTATTTTTGAAATTGTTGGTAAAAGTGATATCGGTCTATAGTTTGAAGGATTGCTTCGATCTCCTGCTTTGTATATTGGACAAACCATAGCACTCTTGAATACTGCTGGAAAAACCCCAGTAGAAAAACTTAAATTACAAATGAACACAATTAATGGTGTCAACAACAGTTTAAACATTTTTAAAAAACGAATAGTTATTTTATCCCCTCCACATGCACTGTTTGAATCTAGATTTCCTATAATATTATAAACTTCAATGGGGTCTGTAGGCAAAAGAGCCATGGTTTGACACGGCGTAGACGTAGTTTTTGTTTTATTAACAAGGTCAGTTTCAGTAAGTCCCAGTTTATTTAAGATTTCATTTGCTAGATTACTACCTATGGTGGTGAAGTATTGATTTACTTGGTCAAGTGATGTTGTTGGGTTATTATCTAGACAGAGTAAGTTTGAGTTTGTTTCTTTACTTTTGGTTATATTGCATAGGTCTTTTATTATTTTCCAAGTTTCTTTATTATTACCAGCTGACATTTCTAATTTGTTCCTATAATAACTACACTTAGCACATTTTATGATTTTATTACATGTATTTCTATAGTTTTTGTATTCTATTTCTAGATTTAAATCATTTGGTGATTTTCTTAACTTTTGAAGTAATTTATCCCTTTTTCGAATAGATCTTACTATTCCTACGGTAATCCATGCCTTCAAAGGTTTAATCTTACTCGATAAGTTCGTTTTAATTGTATTTTTATTTATTATATTCTGTATGTTGTTAATTAAAAATTCTGTAGCAATATTGACATCTGTAAATTTGTAGAATTTATTCCAATCCAATTCCAAGATATCCTTTTGTACCTTATCATAGTCGGTCGTGGTTTTCGTGTGTGGTTTGGGTTTATACTTAATTATATTTTTATTAATTTTGAGTAAGATAGGCGAGTGATCCGTAAATTGGTCAAAAATTACTGTCTGACAAGGTAGGGTTGTTTTAATCATGAAGTGGTCTAAGCATGCATTTAATCTAGTTGGTTTCCAGATACCTTGCTTAAGGCCATAATAGGCCATAATATTTAAGTAATCATTCGCTGTACCATTTAACTGTCCCGGCAAGATATTGATATTTACATCTCCAGTCAAAATAATGTTATTAGATGTAATTTTCATAAGCAGATCGTTTAGTGAGTTAATATAATCTGTGGTATTGAGAGACGGTGGTCTGTAGGTGCATATTATAGAGATGTCAAAAGGAATTTTGATCAATAAGCAATTTCCCTTACTAATTTCAACCTCTGTGCATGTGACTTCAAGATCCTTTTTTGTGTATACTACAACCCCATCATTTTGATTGTGTGTAATTTGGCTAGCATATACATCGTAACCATCTATTATGGGTACAATTACATCGATGCTCGTCCAACACTCCGATAGCACTATAACATCTATTGGAATATCTAATTCGGTTAAGAATAACAGGAACCTATCTAGATTGCAGTTTATACTTCTGATGTTTAGTGATAAGATATAGATAGAATTATTTTCTTCTACATTAAGAATATTTTTTGCTGACTTCAGGGAATTAACATATGTACATGGTATTTGGTCGATTTTCTCTACTTCTTCAATAATAATATCTCGTTTAGCATTCATATTTGTTTTTTAATGATAGTATTGATTTATAAGGAGTATCTTGAAAATAATCCAACATGGATATATGACATTATATATTATTAGCATTAATATTCCAAGTATTAAGCATGACGATGAGAACATTTTGATATCTGTGCTTTTAATTACGTTGCATGTTTGTGAATGTGCTTGATGTTGTGTTATGATATGTACTTTGTGTGGATTTGTGAGTAAATTATATGTATTATGTTTTGTTATTGTGAAGGCTTGAATGTAGTTTTTAAATGTAGTATAATATTTGTGTATGTATGTATTATTTTTTATGGTTAGCGTAGTTAGATATAGTTCTATAGGTAGTACATATTGTTTGGTTCCGTAAAACATTGTAAAGAAAAACTTAACATTATAGGACTTAAAGACTTTTTCGATTATGGGTAAACTATTATATATATATTGCTGACGGTATAGTCACGATTTCAAGCAGTCTAGGTCTTCTTCTTCGTTGATGCGTTGGGCTGGAGCTCCGTCGTTCTTACGTAAGTAGACTGTTCCACGAGAAGTCCAACAGTATCTATAATTATGTGATTTAGCGAAGTCTCGAGCGATTGCATACAGCTTTTTATTTTTGAACGTAAGACTTTCCGTAATAAAAACGGGTTTGGTTGGTCCGGTTAGCGATAGATGGGAAGTGTTCACTTTGTTATTAGGGTATTTCTTATTATACGACTTGACCGCTTGAAGTAATTCGTCTTTTTTGAAAATGCCATTGAATTCTACAATTATTGGTTTATTTTCTGGCACTGCTGTAGCAACTCTGTATATATTACGGACTTCCTGCTCTTCTATGGATACATCAAGAAATTTACCCGTTTTTTTTAATATATTTAAAAGATCGATCTTACTCTCAGCTTTATTTGTCGGTATATTTCTTAACTCGATATTTGTGATTCGTCCGTTTTTTTCTAGGTATTCTATTTTTTTTTCTAGAGTATGGATGTATTTTTTGTCTTCTCTTCTTTGCTGTTCCAACGAATTAAAACGGTTTAACAGTTCTTCATATTTACAAGACATAAATTCTTGCGATTCTTGTACGTCGTTCATTTGGGTTTTCATGTCTCTCATAAATTCCATAATAGTATCGAGTTTAGAATCTTGTGCGGCTATCATGCATTTTATTGAAGCGTCCTTTGAAGGTGAGGCTGCAATATCGTCACCGTTGGATTCTCGACGTATGCGTTTATTAATGTTGCGTGTATTTATATTTTGCATCGCCTCACTGGGTTGTGTTAAGTTGGGTTCTGAGCCAAAGTGCGTTAATTTACCTTCTGATTTGTTTTTATTCAAGCTCTTTGTGTTTGACACAGTTTGTGAGGTTCTAACAATCTGTGTTTTGTCCACTTGTACCAGAAAAGGTGTCAATGAGCCTTTTTCTGGTGATTTTGGGGGTGTACGCTTCAAAGGCATATTTTTATTTTTTTTTAGTTAATTGTAAATAAAATGTAATTTAAATGTGAGAGTACCAGGGGTTCAGAAGTCGAAGGAGGTGTATTCTGACTATTTGCAGACGAATGTACTCTTATAGTAGGATATAAGAATATAATCCGAAACAATTATGACACAGATTTTCAGTTTTATCAAGTTTCACTATCTAATTTTTTGTTTCAAAATTGTGCCGAGTACCAGGGCGACATAAAACATAAGGGTTCGGGAAAGGCGACCGAACGCGCGTAGAAGACGACGACAGGTCTATAATTCTGGTCGTTGATCGACGCCGTAGAACAATTCTCGTTTCCGTCCAGTCTATGAAGACCCCTCTGGTTACTTTTTATTGAAGTAAGATAGATTGTTTTGTTTCACTCACGCGCACGCTGGATGTTGCTTGTTAGTTGATGGATGGATGAACTTCTTTGCAGCGCTGTGCCCCTAATTTCGTACACTAATTTATATTATATGAAATTGCGAATTAATTTATAATTTTGGTATAAACATGTGACTATAAAAACGTCTGAACTCCTCAATGGTCCGAGGGGAAGAGGAAACCATAAAGCAAACATCTTTAATGAGCTAATGATGAGAACCCTTGACAATCAAGAAATCATCATTCACACCAGCCCTTTTACGTCCACACTGCAGGGGCTCAGGCCTTTCTTATGGATGGTTAAGGAGGATGGGCCATGCCCCTCCACACTGGCCCAATGCGGATTGGAGGGTATTTACGACTACAAATGCAGCCGGAACCAACGGCTTAACGTGCCTTTCGAAGCACGGAGTAGCTCGAGATAATAATTTTTTGGTCACCCATCCCGTGACCGACCCTTGCGAAAGTTGCTTAACGACTACGATCGCGGGCCGCGGTGCTTATCCACTACGCCACCGAGCTACTCAAGAATCAAGAAATATGAACACTAAATAAATATTGTAGGAATCAGATACGACAAAATTATAACCATTAACCCATTCGATTCGGTTTAAATATTATGTTACTATACTTAATTATCAAATCATACAAGTTGAGTATCAAATGATAAAAAAGAAGGATCATTATATTCTTAATAAAATACTTAAAAATCCACTAGCCCCAGTAGATGCGACTCGACCCATGAGTTTTTGCATTCCGGGCGACTGTTCTAACCGCTGAGCTATCCAGGACCCTCTCTTTTGGTGGTTGGCCTGAATATTGATAAGAATGTGCTCATTAGAAGCGTAAAGTAACATGTGCATTAAAAAATCACCAGTCCTGTTGATCCTGTGTAGCTGAGTGGTTAGAGCAGTCGTCCGGATTGCGAAAGCTCGTGGGTTCGAATCCCATCTCAGAGTACCTTGGCCTGGTTATTTTTTTAAAGCATTTTTCAGAATATTTTCGAGTATAGCATTGAGATAAAGAAAATTTATGGTATATCGAACATGTCGAAATAAGCGGCGAAGTCGAGCAGCAGCGCTACAACGTGCAGTCCGGGCCACTGCAGCTGCAGGTACGTGTAGCTGGGGAACACCATCGCGGAGAGCAGCGCGCACGCGACACGGAACCACTCGTACCGCATCAGGTACGTGCCGTCCGGACGAATAGTGAACCGGGGAAACACGTATCTACGTGAAGTAAGCAACGTATTAGAAGGATGATATACCTACAATATTTCTATTATAAAGAAAACCAAAGTACTTGTCTTTTATCAAATCAGATAACAAAAGGCTCGTAACATTTTGTTTTGTTTGCTAGAGCACTAATATAACTATTATAATTTTATATCACTTTGAGATTCAATCACTCATTTTAATACAAAATCCATAGAGAGAATTACAAACTCGTCAAATACATAGTAATAATACTCTGATCTTATTTAACTTAGCACCACAACTAGTGATAAGTATCTTTCAGGATAAACTGTCTGTTGTGTTAATAGAGCAATTCCATAGTATAATAATAGTTTTATTATAGTGAAACAAATCGCATACAATAAAATTATTCGTAGCCAAATTTGTCCATTGACAAGTTTGTCGATTAAATAGAGTACAGAATCACCATAGACAAATATTACAACTTTATCCTTTAACTATACTAGCTTATTAACTAGTAATAGTATTACTATATTACCACAGAACAGTATTTTTCTATCCTATAAGCATTACTTTAAAGATTTAAAAATAAAAATAAATATTTAACCTGAGTATAGAGAAAAATCCAAGTCTTCTGAAAGGTTGCAGAAATGCGTAGTCTACTTCGTGCTTACGCGGGAGACGAAACCGCTCTGTATTCGGCGCTGGCGCTTCTTGCTCGTACGACTGGAAGGATTCGCGAGCATTCAGAAGACGAGAATACTCCTGCAATATAATAAAACGTGTAAAACTACAGTAAGAAAGTGCAATATCGCTCCAAGCGTTTTTAATTGTTATTGACAAAAAAAATATAGATTTATATAAAATCTTTTTTCTATCTTAGTCAGTGAAGAACGTAAATTTAATTTGTTCCGTTTTTTCTAATTCGACATCATCGAAATATAATTACTATTTTTCATGTCGTCTCTCAAATTATTCCTTGCTTATTTCTTCTTTATTTATCTACCACGAGCTGTTTCCTGCGATTTTGCCCGCGCAGATTATAACTATATCACCCAAGTATGATGGAGCTTCCCGTAGGTGAAAGAATTTTGATGATCGTATCAGTTTTTACGATGATTATCCTCTACTAATAAACAATCAAAGTTAAATCTTTACCTTTTTATAAGTATTTGTATAGATTATTATTATTTCAAGACAATGAATGCTTAGATATTTTATTACCGGACATTCCTTTGCAAATTCTATGGCATCTTTCATCTGCGGCAAGTTCATAGCCATGACTAGAACTTTCCTTGATATAGAAAAAACTTGAACGTGGGTAACTGCCCGAACAGTGTAATACGCTGGTAAGCCTAAAAATTTTTTAACGTTTAAAATAAGACAATAACTGTATCCAATTCTACAATTGCAGACATTAAGTCAAGGCTCTTGGGAATATAACAAACTCGATATTGACATACTCACGTAACAAACATTCAATGACGCCGAAGTGGTTTTTCACGTTTAAAGTCCCAACAACACTTTTCATAACTGGATCTAAAATCTATCATTATTCTATTAGAATCAATAGATACCCAAAATACTGATATCAACAATTCCGAATTAAGCTTGTGTACTAAGGCTAATAGCCGCAATTGAATTAATTTTTCAAGTTCATGTTTATTCTATTCCGGCGACTAGCCTTGCATAATTAATTAATTATATTACTGCGACTAGCCTTAGTACACACACTTTTTCGGAATCGTTGATATTAATATATTGGGTGTCTATTATTGAAGGTTTTGGGGCTATACAGTTCCATATAATGATGTATTCACTGCAACATAAAGTCCGCAACCAGAATCACAGAAACATCTTTCAACCTGATAGAGATAGAGTAAGGAATATTTGTATATATATTTGGTAACTTTTCTCACTTTGATACATGATAAAATAAAGATACCATATTCCTAAAATAGATCGTCAATTGAATAGCAAAAGTTTTAAAAGAATACCAAACAGAATTTCCGCTTAAATTAAATAATACTCTTATGTGATTAGTTTTCATTTGGAAAGCACTTTTATTAGTATTTTGTTGTTTGAAATATTATTATAATACCCATTTTTCTAATATAAGAGCGTGAGTAATCATCGAATGATTTCAAGCCTTCAACAACCTTAACATGATGCTACAGTTTTTATTCAAAATAAAACTGCAATTTTAATAAATCGGAAAGTATTTTTTTTCTTAGTTAAACAGTAAGTAGGGTTACTGTTTAACTAAATACAAAAAATAAAATTACGCGCATGTTTTGTTTATTTTAGACAGAAAACATTTGCATAAAAGCACTGCTTATAATAAATATGAGCAACAAATTGAAGTTAATTAGGAACACAATTATACTTATATGATTACTATATCTAGTGGTATGGCGTTTATTATAATCTAGTTTTGTGGAGCTCACCTCACAAATCCCGCGCTTGATGACGTACATCTCATTGCTAATGTCCCCGGTGTTGAGCAGAATCTCATTGGGTGACGTGTAGAATAATTTCGCTTTAGTGGATACAGTTTTCAGGTCTTCCTTGTTCAGTAACTATCGGATAACTATCGGATATCAATAACGAAAAATACTTCCAACTCTTAGATCTATTGTTTGTTTATTACACAAACAGAATGAATAATAAGAATTGTATTTGTATTTTGTATTTATAAAAGAAACCAATATTTACAACTAACTAAGCAATATATCGTGTCAGTGTTATGTGAAAAGGATTAAGCTTATTATAAACAATGATTACTTACTTTCATAAAAGGGATAGAGAGCAAGTACTTGCTGCGTTGGCGCATAACTATCTCCTGGTACACATGAGGAGGTAGGTCGTGGAATATAGAACTCTTCTTGTTCGTCATAGCAAATGCCTATGAAAGTTAATTTTTAAGCTTATCTACCGTATTCAGAAGCGTCTTTCAACTTTAAAACATAACTATAGGCGATTTAAGTTTTGAAAATACAAAAAGTTACGTTATCATATTTTAAAGAACATCTATGAACACGGCATTAAGTATTAAAGCAACTTTAAGTCTAGAGAACTAAAGTAACAACGATGTAACCAAACCATTAAGAGAATCCTTACTGCCAGGAATTACCGATGTAAGTAAAATATTTATATGGCTTTTCAGAAGGAAAGGCTTCTCTTTAGAAACAAAACGCTTAACTTTATCGGTGTACCAGCAGAGCTCCAAGTAAGTGATGAATCGTCGTCTCAGTTGTGAATCCACCGAATTATTCACTAGGAAATCCTTCACGTTACCGATACACGAATCGTAATCCTCCCTGTAACATGCCTCTATTAGATTTCAATGGTGAACGTTCACAACCACAAGATCCTCTTGCTACCATTGCCTATAAAAAGGATCACATCTATAGCATTCCTATCTTATCCTACCACCACCACCTATCCTCCACCTATCTTATAAATGCACGGTGGTGTGCCACAGATACCCATCTATAAGTGATAAGACAAACAGATACTCATAGATCGGGATGACAGTATTTAATTAATGCGCTAAATCTGGGAATTGGCTTATGACGTCTGAGGTCTTACTTTTTTCAAACCCAATGAAAACAGGAAATAAAACGAATGCAGAAAATAAATAAGCAGTATTACAATCAACTCAATTGTAAACTCTCTTCTAGTTTCAAATTTATCGATACCGATTTATGTGCAATCAGGATTTATGTGCAATCAGGATTTGGGGGCACGACATGGCACGGCAAAGAGACTATGTTTGTTCTAATTTATTATTATTATTAGAACCCTGAAAAATTGCCTCTTGTTTGTTTGAATATGAGTCCCATGTTTGCGGTATTCAAAAGTACAACATTTTCAGACTAGCTTCTCTTAAGGAGTTTCTTTTATCATTGGCAATATTTCACTCTTTAGTCTACATTAGTCTTTTAAATTCTTGTGATTTTTATGGACGTCGTTCCAGTGTTTTGCCTAGGGTGCCAAATTTCATTGTACCGACGCTGTGTACTTTATGATATTTTTTTTAGATCTTTCTAACTTCAAGTGGCCTAAACTATATAAATGTTAGTAATATTTTATTAATATATTTAAAATCCACCTTAAAGCAGTCGTCACCATTATTGTAGCGGAGTACACGGCTTCGATGAATATACGCAAAACGATGCATAGTTCGAGAACGAACATAGTGTATAATGTACTGTTCCAATTCTCTATCTTCCAAGTCTCCATGTGCGCTAATGTAAAGAAAGTTAAGCTAATAAAAATATTACTATGAGAAAGCATGGTGTATCACGAGTAGCTCGATGGCGTAGTGGGTAAGCAATCGTTGTTGTTAAACAACTTTCGCAAGGGTCGGTCACAGGACGGGTGACCAAAAAATTATTATCTCCAGCTACTCCGTGCTTCGGAAGGCACGTTAAGTTGTTAGTCCCGGCTGCATTTGCAGTCGTTAATACCCTCCAATCCATATTGGACCAGCGTGGAGGATAATGCCTATCCAGAAGGAAGGCCTGCAGGAGCAGTAGGGACGTTAAAAGCCTGATGATGACGAGAAAGCGAGTTCACATCTACTAGAACTATTCATTGATGATGATAGAATTCAAAGGAAATTTATGCTCCTACTCTTTTTAGTGAAATCGAAAATAGCTACTTTGATCAACTCTGATTTTTATAATATAAGATGTGGGTAAAAGTGCCCATTTTAATAACAGTGAAGAGTCTTAGTTCTTTGACTTCCGCATCAGTGCTTTTAAGAATCATAGACAGAGAAAAAGTTTTTTTTTTACTATTAGAGCATTAAAACTTCATCTGAAATATATTCAATGTAGTGCTTTATGCGTTCAGTCCACGATTGTTTGCAAATGTTAAGCAACCATCTCAAGAGCCATTCTACAAATGGATCAGATCAAAGAATTCTACGGAATTGATGTTATCTGCATTTGTATTCGTAGTAATGGATAATATACTGGGGGCAGTTTTGTGGGTCATTAACCACTGGTAATAATCATCATTTAACTGATGATGATAACCAGTGGTACAAGTTACATGTGAATGTAATCATGTTGATCGCCCAGTAGAGGCCGAACATGAGCCGACGGTCGATAGTGTCTTCGTCCAAGGGTTCGTTAACCCAGTACGGTGAATGTGTGAAGTTGTTCACCAAACAGTAGTCAAATCTGTACAGAAAGTGATAACTGTGTTTTATTAAAAACGTATTTTCCTGGCAAATGACACGACGTATTACATATTCATTGGGCTGTTTTGCCGCGACTTCAGCCGCGTAAATTATAGCGTATGTCCGCGTATGGTGGAGCTGCCCGTGGGTTAAATATTTTTTTTAAATCTGTCAGCCTGTTCAATGCAAACAATCAATCAAACAAACTCATTTATATTGGCCGAAGAGGTCCGCATGCAGGTGGGCATTACGCGAGCATTTTCTGTATCTTATTTCTATAATTATTAATTATCTATTTTAATGATCTTTCATTAGGATTCAATCCAAAATAAACCTTAACAATCCTTATACGATCATTCGGTTTGTTCATTTGTCCGTCCGTCTGTCACAGTGGATCTGTCTGCGATGCTGAAGTTACTTTCGTAAGGAGGTTCCATCCGCAGTTAAGGCCTGCGCCCCAGTACTGGGGACATTAATTTATTACTATTTGGACATTAGTATATTCCCTCATTACTTATGAAGGAGCATAGGAGTTTATAATTCGCCTTTTAAAAAATATAAAAATAACTTTATCATAAAATTTTATAACTCACTGGAAACACATGAAACCCTGCTGCAATGCAGCAATAAGATAACACGCTATCAGTAACAACAGTGTGTAATATAAAAAGCGCAATACATGGCTGTGATACACGCAGATCTCCTCCAAAGACTTCAACAATCGGAATAACTGTAACCACATAGGACAGTTGATGGTTAGAGAATGTTTACTCAAACAAAACAACTCTGGTCTAATATAGTCAAGAGATTTATTTTAAAACCTACTCAGTTTCTTTTCATTGAACACTAAATAGTACCATAACTTATATCCTTACCCCGAAAACTCTGTGTTTAATACACGCACATACGGTTAGTACTCACAAATAGGCAACAATCTTTGATTGTATGAGAATGTGGAATGATATAAGATGAAATACCTAATGTGTGAAAATAGAACTTGTATGGAAGAGTCTTGGGTAAACTAGATCCATAACGGCCTGTTGCAAAGCGGGTAGCTTAATAATCAAAGAAACCTATCCAGCTGTCATTAACAGCAACATTTGATTACAAATATAAATTGGTGGTTGCAATGAAGCGCACGAATCTCTTACAAGCCTGATTTATTGTATTTTGATCATTTATACATAATTTTGAATAGAGCGTTTAGTGCATATGTCACGTGTGGTGTCCACCGCAGCTAACCTTAGGAAGTCGCAACAGTTTGTTGATGCCAGCAAAGTGTCCGCTGTACACGAACTCGAAGATAGGCAAGGTCCCTAAGACGTCCAGCGCGAACCAGTGGCTGCGCATCTGAAGTGACGACGTCTGGACGAACGTTATCGGTACTCCTGGTGCACAGGCTCAAAGTTTATAAAGATTCCCCATCGTCTAAAATAGCGGAACTATTATACTGCCCCACATTACATAATGGCTGTCGCCAGCCTTTTGGAGATGGTTAGAAAGCATTATAATTGTGATAAACAAATATAAAAGAAATTATAATTATGCTAAATGCAGACTAGTTCTTATCGAAGGTGATGAATAAAATGAGATAAATTAAAACATGGTGTAAACCATCGTAGCTTCTATCATCTTCATCGTAGTATTATAAAAATTGTTGTAATATATAGCCTTACTTTCAGTGGCGTAACTACAGGGTGGTAAGATGGCTAAATGCCACAGGCCCCCAGATGGAAGGGGCCCCCGGTCAGAGAAGACTCCTTACTCCTGACATTTATTACTATACAATTAGAAATAAATAGAATATTCAATGAATTTGCCACGGGTCTCAAACGGTATACACTGCTTACTTTAATTAACATAATTTCATTTATGTATTTTAGTATTCTGGCAAAGAGAAGTAACATAATTTGTTATTATTAATAAATGAGTTACATTACCTTCTTCAACGTTGGCGCCAGTAGAAAGATGTACGATTAAGTCTAGAATGTACAGCATCGTCACTACATAATCGAAGAATCTGAATTCAACGGGTACTTCCTTCTTGAATACCAGATAATAAGGATGTGTCTACAAGAAAACCAAGAATATATAGGACTTAATTGCTTTAAAATAGAAAGTAGAACAGGCATAAACGCATTTATGAAGAAAATGACTGATGGGCAATGGTGTATGCAATAATTCCTACCTAATTACATAATAAAATCTATTCTAAGCTTCTGTCGTATCGATATTTTCTAGTCCAGAGAAAACAAATTTAATTTGAAATAACATTTGTTAAACTTTTCGTTTCCAATTTTTGTTGAGTTAAGAAATTCTAAAAGTTTGTCATGTGAAGTTTATTTCTTCAACAATTTCAATACTTTCATAACATCTAATAGATCTCAATTTCAAACAGTTTGTAGGCATGATTTCAAACCCCAAACTTTAAATTATGATTGTAATTATATTTATTAGCCAAAAATATGGGCTGCATACTAAAACATAATTGTGTATCGAGGATAACTCACAAAACAAACAATGACGATAAGGCACGATATTAATGAATTCCAGGCCAATTGCAATGAGGAGTTTGGCTGCAAAATCCAGGGAAATGTTGGACGTAAGCAGATGGCGTCCGCCTCATTCGACTGCGATGCAACTGGCCGCTAGAATAATAAAAATCTCAATAGACTGTCCTAATTAAAGCTCTAAAGCCATCATGCCAGCTCTAGAATTAGATAATTAATGAAATAAAAGTGTAAGATTTCATCGCCGATGTAAGAGCTTCGATAATATAGATAATCATATGATTTGCTCATACGACTGAGCCAATGAACTATACCTATCTCATTTGTCGGTGGTTATTACTTGGAATAAGAAAATATTTCGTAACGAACTAGAGATTCCATTAGATAATCATACATTCCTCATGATGTAAGTGCCGGCAATTTCTAAGAAAGTGTCTCTTCGCCGAAGGAGCTGATTGCCTTCGTCGTCTGTCGCTTCTTTCAATGCCATGAGGTTGCGTTTGAAGTGCAAGATGCTGCTCTTATGCCTATGGTTTAAGTCATTCGTTTTATTTATCGAGCAACTGTTGTTAATTATAATTTATATAAATCATTATGCTTCATATTTCTTTCAAAATATCTTACTTCACTTGTTCAGGCATTTTCAGTAAATAATGTCCCTTTACTCTATCGAGATGTTCCTAGAAAACAATGAAGAATGAATGTACAATATAGAAAAAAGTACAAGATGACACATATCCTGATGGGTATGATTAATTAAGATAATACTTTAATCTGGGCAATTTTTTTATTGTAATGATTAATGATAATATCAGCTAAAAATAATAATTATTTTTGAAAAACAAAACAGCAAATCAAATCTTAAAAATTTCTTGACTAAGTATAAGAATAAGAATCATTTATTTGCAAGAATGTGGTATAAAAGTAGCATCATAATTTTATTACTAGCACAGAACACATTCACCCCGCTTGGAGATGCAAGTTATTAAATTGAAATTAAAATAATAATCTTATAATCAAATTGAAAAATCACCATTAAATATAATAGTTTGAAATACTAAACTTGTCTTTCAAATTACGTCTCAAGAAATCTGAACTTTTAGTATCTTTTATTTCCTTTTTAATATTTCTCCTGTGTTTTTCTGCTAACCCTTTTTTAAAAGTCATTGAATATATTTGTAAATTTAACTGATCTGGTAATGACATGGAACTTTTATATAACGATACTAACGACATTAATAAGTTTATTTGTTTAATGTTATGACTTTGACGTACATATAAAGAGGATAGAATGACAAAAGCTTGGCTCTGGTAGCGCACATGTTTGAGGACCTCGTGCCACAGGTCTCGTGTGCTGAGTACGTGCGTGATGCAGAAGGTGGCGGCGCGGATCTCGCAGTATGCGCGCGAGCACGCCACCGGTACACCACCCGCACATCCGGCCAACGTAGTACCGCGAGTCATCCTCAACACTGCGGTCATGTCGTCTTCTGCTGATAACATCTAGTTGCAAAATTGTAAAATAATTGCTTCTATTAGTATTTTTCTGCACATGTGTGAAACTTCGGATAACCTCGGCTCTTAAGAATAGTCTTTTTAGAAAGGTTGGCAAGATAATCATGACTTCCGTTCGTAGCTTAGAATTCTGGTATTATGGTTATTAGAACTCCAAAGTTGCCTTGCAGTCACTTTATTGTTACATAATTAAATAAATATTTGCATGAATTTTCGGCTTTCGTGCGTGCTGGTCGTGTTGTTAAATTAATCAATGCTCGATTATATTTTGTTTTAACATTAGTTCTTTTCAGCTGAAAATCAGCGTTAGGTACTCTTGTGCCTAACATTATGCTGAACTGATGGCCTCAAAGTTATTATAAAACATGTATTATTTTATTTACATTGAGTTTTATTTAATTATTATTATTGGTATTTTTTTCAGTGGTGTGGTGTCAATAAACGATTATTCTATTCTATTCTATTCATTGCTATCGTAAGTAAATATCGTTAGTCTATTGTAGCTACAGAATATTTTTTTACGATCATTCTTCTTGTCAGTTATGTCCTGAATGGGGGGTAGATAAAAAATATTGGGCGATTCAAAAGTGCTTTCAATAAACTTATCGTTGGGAACAATATTTTATCATAAAAAGTATATTGACAATAAGCCGAAATTAAAATCTTACTTGGACGTCTCCGTAGGCAATAAATATCATAGTAGACTTTTTAGAGGACCTCTTGATGACGGCGTCACCGGGGATATACAATACAGTGTGCATTTTCTTTGCCAGTTTAGACAGGAACTCGTACGACAAATCACAGAGAAGGCGACTCTGAACAGATTTAATTAAATTATTACTAGACGGCAAATCACAGGTCAAACCCATAGTGTTGAAGTAAAAATCTGTACACTTAGAATTAAATCCCTTCTGCTGCGGCAGGATCTTCCAGATAGATGATGGGATAACCAAAACCCATAATTGTGGAATGGTAGGTATTGTCGACTGCAAATGCAGCTGGAGCCAACAGCTTAATATGTCTTCTGAAGCATAAAGAAACTCGAGATAGTAAATTTTTGATCACCCACCCTGTGAACTTTGCCTTCAACCGCCGAAATTGAACGAACGCGCTAACGGCTTAGCCAAGAAAGGGAAATTACGTTTAATTTCGTTATATAGGCCCGATATTCTAGAGACAGATGGCCAAATCGCGTCACCAAATGGCATGGTCCGTGCGGCAAAAGACAACAGGGCAGACCTAGAGTTCGTTGGAATAACGACATAGTAAAATTAGTGGGAGGGGGCTGGATGGACGTCGCGAAAGACAAGGACAGATGGAGGCACCTGGAAGAGGCCTATACCCGTAAGGGTATTATTATTATTATTATTATTATAAGTATTAATTCCTGGTGCATTGATCAACCAAGGTCGACAATGCTTAATAAAAAAGTTCTCAAAACTTGAAACTCTGTCTCACTTTACTTATAAAAAGGAAAGATTTGTTTGTTTGCTTAGAAAGGGCTCCGAAACTTATGGAATTTTAAAAATTAATCGATCTACGAGAAGTTACATCCTGCGTGAGTGACCTAGACTATTCACGCGAAATTGCCCAAAAACAGGTTACATATAAATGTAAAATTAAGATTTGATTATATCCTTTGCCATCATATTAATCCTGTTATGCAAGATGATAGTGAACATATAATTGGTACCCTTTGAGTAGCTTCAAAGTAGATGTCAGTGTATATAGCATTCGGTAACGTAGGAGGATAAGTTGGCAGCAGTTGTGTAGCGGACACTGCCTTCTGCTTGTGCCAGTACATCTTATAGAAGGTTTCCACCTTCTCACGGAGACTTGGCGGTACTTTTGAGTCTCTCTACGATACAACCAAACTTAAAACGATCAAGTCTAATTTTTCAAAACGTGTTAAGTTAGATATTTGCTGTGATTGAATTCTCTTCATTCTAATTTACAAACTACTAAATTCCAATTTGCACTAATAACAGTCTAATTTGAATCTAAAATATAATTAGGTGTTCAAAAAATTTTTAGCTGTTTGTGTATAACTACTACTTTAGACTTTTGTAAGTTTTGAATAAATATATATATTGTCAATACAACTTCTGAACGATAAAGTGGTTCTGCCGTTCTTCGTGCGATCTGGATAAACGTTAACCACTCATACCTTAACAGATACCATTAGAGCAGTCACATTTTATTTTTTCATAATCGAATTTTATTTTATTTTAAGTAATAAAAAGCACGTCTCTTTTCATACGCATGTCATCACAAAAACTATCGAATGTAAATCATCTCGGGTAATCATTGCTTTCCATCGCCATCTTTCATTAATTTCATTTTCATTCTACATATAAAAATTAATTTATTTACTTCACATTGGCAGAATTGTGCGAAATAAGCAGATAAGCCATTACTTAAAAAAAAGAAGAATGTAGTAGGGTAGGAACCACCCTATCGGTGAAATGTATTTTCACTTTAGACGAGTCCTAAATATTTAGGCGACAGATTCGAACGCCTCCTAAGTTTAGTGGAAACGGGCATTAGTTTCATGTTGGTGTATTAACAATTCTTACCGTCTCTTTCATGATGAGACGGTACCTCTCTCTGAAAGCCTCCTCCGGGCGCATGTAGATGCTTATGACAAGTGACATAGATGCCACCGCCACGCCGGTCACCACCAGGCACCCGGACAACATCACCAATAAACAGGCGATGCGCTCTACGTCGTTAACCGGTGCCACTGAAGGACTATAAAGATCCTTTCAATTTACTAATGCCTCATTAACTAATAATAACGATATCAGTAAAAAAGACAATATTAGACAAGACAATATTACATGATTTACTTTTTTGCTCATATCTTAAATAAAGTAGTATATTTTATGGAAATCAGAAACAATGAAGTAAGGTACTAAAACATCAAGACCTAAAAAAAATAATCGGAATTGTAGATACCAAATAAGAAAAATATGTAGAAATCCTATCTGTTGTTTCTAATGTATGTAATGTATGTTGTTTCTAATATGTTAAAAAGCTGTTGATTTTCTAGTTACTAGTTTGAAAGATCGAAATCGCTCATTGAGCAAAAAAATTGGGGCCCCCACCTGGCGGACTGACGATTTCATAAAGGTAGCGCAGCACCAGCATGCTTACTGTCCAACGCAATCCAACGCAACGAAAAAATTGTGAAGTTCACAACGCGTTGTGGTCACAGTATGTAGTTATTCTGCAATTGCCAGAACAGTTTTTTCACTCAATATACGATTTAGATCTTTGAGTGTAACATCTAATTATACTCCTGCTTCGTCCTCGAGATTAGCATAACACATGTAGTATCACATACGGTGTCGCCAGATTGCACTGAAAGTTGAAAATATTTAACCCACCCACAATATTTTTTTTTTTTTTTTTTTTGTTTTTTGTGGGTACTACTTTCTTCTTGCCGCTCGTTAGCTATTTCGTCATTCACAGTTCAGTGCTTCGCCAGTGCGCACACGCCGCATAAGTTTAAAGTGAATAAAATTAAAATATTCTTCGTCAAAATGGGTAAAAGGAAGCATGACAGTGATAGTTACGAATATATCGCGAAGAAAATCAAACGGCTTGAAAGGAAGTTACAGCGTACCAGACGTAAACGTTCTGATTCGATTTCTACGTCATCATCAAGGAATTCGCCGTCAGACAAAGAAGGTTAGTAGTGCAATACATTCATGTTTCAAAATTACATATAATCGACATGGTTACAAGCTCTCGTTGCGGGTAACTTATGGGGTTATCACTTCGAGATGACGTAACTCATAAAATACACGTTAAATGTTAATACTGCGGGCAGTTTTTGGGGCTGTCACTTTATTAACGGACGTGAAAACATACTCGTGATGCGGTCAGCTTTTGGGGCTGTCACTTCAACGTTTATTTACCTACATGTCACAGATAAATAATGTAATAAAAATCTTACGTTATATTATGTATAAAGCATATTATATGCTTTTCAGACGAAGCAACAATGGCAGAGGTAGGAGAAACCTACTATCATGCAACCGATGACGTGATATCAGAAGTAGAACAGACGGAACCTGTTAATGAGCCAGCACCATCGACTAGCTCAGCGCAACCTGTATATGAAGGTAGTATTGAAGAAATTCCTAAGATCGTAGAACTCGATAGTGAATTGTTACAAATCCTTGGCGAAGACCCTTCCGCTGTGAAGGAATACGGTAAGGATATCCAAACTGATCTCGCAGTACGCTTACAGCACGTCGCCACCCAAGGTATTACAAATGAGGCTAAAAAAGAATTGGAAGAAAAGTACCTCCCACCAGGAAATTGCACTCTTATCGGTGCACCTAGTTTAAATCCCGAAATAAAAGCTGCCCTATCCGAGCCTGTAATAAAAAGGGATAAGAGCATAGAACTTAAACAAAAACATCTCGGTTCAGCAATTTCAAGCGTTGGAGAAGCTTTGACGCTATTGTTAAAAAGTGAAAACAAAGATATGTCCGTAATTAAGTTACTGATGGACGCAAGTCGTATATTATGTAATTGTCAAAATATGGACTCCGTGACTCGACGTAATTTCATCCTTCATAATTTGAAAAAAGATATGAAAGATCAATTGTTGAAAACAAAAATAGACAAATTCCTGTTTGGCGCTGATCTTACAGAAAGCATAAAAATCGCAAGATCGATTTCCAAGTCAGGAGCTGAACTAAAAGCTCAAACGCCATCTAGCAGCAGGACTCCGTCATCAAAATTCAACCAACTGCCTGGACCATCGTCACAAATAAAACCACAGAGAAGCAATTTAAACTGGAAAGGTCCTCCCCCAAGTCGCAGGCCGAAGGGGGCTCCGAGGACGAGGGATCCTGCTCCGAGGACGCAGCCCGCGAGTTACTCGCGACCATCATATCGACCTCCGCCGACGACCAATCGCGGCCGGCGCTAGAAAAAACGGTGAGTTATGCTGGGCGACTTTCCCAGTTTTATCACAATTGGACTCTGTTGACGAATGATATGACTGTTTTATCTTGGGTGTTAGGCTATGAAATTCCATTTACATCTCCAGTAAAACAGACAGATCTACCCACAATTAAAAAATATTCAAATAAGGAATTATTACAATTCAGTGAAGGTATTCATGAATTATTGAATATAGGAGCTATTTCACAAGTTGAACCCTGTGAGGGTCAATTTTTATCCAGTTTTTTCCTTATACCGAAGCCAAATGGTAAAAATAGGTTCATCCTTAATTTGAAAAAATTAAATAAATTCATAGCAAGCGAACATTTTAAACTTGAAGATTTTCGGACAGCTATAAAACTGGTTTCTGAAAATTGCTATATGAGTACTCTAGATCTAAAAGACGCTTATTTTTTACTACCTATACATGACAATTCGAAAAAATACCTCAGATTCAAATATCAAGACAAAATATATGAATTTAACGTTTTACCATTTGGCCTTAGTACAGCTCCTTTTATTTTTACGAAAATAATGAAACCGGTTGTAAAATTGCTCAGAACATGCGGTTACTTGTCAACGATTTATTTAGATGACCTATTTTTAATTGAAAGTACATATGAAAAATGTTTACAAAACGTTCAAATAACTAAACAGTTATTAACATGTTTAGGTTTCATAGTTAATTTGGACAAAAGTAATCTGATACCTAGTAAATCGTGTCAATTCTTAGGTTTCATTATTGATTCGAAGAAATTCCATGTGACCCTACCCGAAGAAAAAATTTTAAAAATTAAATCAGAATTAAATCGCTTTAAATTCCTAAGACATTGTAAAATTAGAGAATTCGCCCGTCTGTTGGGGCTACTTACCTCAGCGTGTCCAGCTGTGGAATATGGGTGGCTTTACACAAAAGAGTTCGAAAGGTGCAAGTTCCTAAACCTTAGAGATGATGATGACTATGAGAAAAATATGAATCTACCTTCACAGCTCTCTGATGATTTCGAGTGGTGGTCAAAGGCAATTGAAATGCCTCTCTGTAAAATCAAATATGACGAATATTGTATGGAAATTTTTAGTGATGCCTCAACTACGGGGTGGGGAGCAGCGTGTGGCGAGGAAACAGCTAGTGGTGCGTGGAATAAAGAGGAACAGTCTAATCATATTAATTATTTGGAAATTTTGGCTGCTTTTTTTGCCTTAAAAGTTTTTGCAAAATCAATGAAAAAATGTCAAATCCTTCTCCGTATTGACAACACCACGGCCATTTCATACGTAAATCGTATGGGTGGTGTACAATTTCCTCACCTCACCAGGATAACAAAAACATTATGGCAATGGTGCGAGTCGAGGAGAATAATAGTTTTTGCTTCTTATATAAAGTCTGTCGATAATCATATAGCAGACGCTGAATCTAGAAGAATTCACCCGGATATAGAATGGGAGCTAAACGATGTAGCGTTTCATAGAATTATTAAATCATTTGGTATACCGGAAATTGATCTTTTTGCAAGTCGATTAAACAACAAGTGTAAAAAATATATTTCTTGGAATCGAGACCCAGACGCCCTTGCCATTAATGCTTTTACTTTACAATGGTCAAACTTTTTCTTTTACGCCTTCCCGCCATTTTCAATGATTTTAAAAACCATTCGAAAAATTATAAAAGACCAAGCCACCGGTATAGTAGTAGTGCCTTTATGGCCCACACAGCCTTGGTATCCTCTTTTTAAAAAGCTTTTAGTAACCAAACCAATAAAATTAGAACCAAGTCAAGACTTAATTTTATCTCGTTCCAGTTACCGGAACGTCCACAATCAAATTACCCTGGTGGCCGGGCTA